TATAAAAACAGGAAATAAAGCATATTGAAGACATCATAGAAAAAATGTCCCAAATAGACTAAAATGCAAATGGAGCCCATGAGAAAAGACAGAAGATCTTTTTTTTTTTTTTAAGTTCCAAAATTATGCCGGCCAAAAGGCAGGAGAGGAGGAAATGAGAGCCGAGGATGGAATGGCAATCAAAGGCAAGGAAAACACAGAACATTCAAAGCATTGTGCATAAGGATGGAGAGGGAGAAGCGAAGAAAGTCTGCATATTAACTTACAGCCGGCAACCAGTTAAAATGGGAATTTAATGGCATAGGCTTATGTCTTACACATGAACAGGAATTGAATCAATGTTCGAGGCGGAATGCCATGAAAGTACTGAAGCAGATTTCACTTCTTCCTTCTTAGGTTTTAAGACATAAGCCTCAGTGCAGTAAAGACAATCAGTTATTCGTTAATAAAATTTGAGATTTCTTCTAATAGCTAACAGGAACTTAGTGCTGTGTGCCATTTGCACAATATTCAATAATTCCTTCTCAAAGATATTCAGATTCTAAAATAAGAACAATTATGTACATGTGGATAATGTCTTTGTACAAGTAAAATAAGTACACTAAAATTTCTGTATATGAATCATGCCCATTATGGTGTCTGACTCACTAATGTTTGCCAACATGAGTATGTGTTTATCGGTTTCTCTTAAAATCATTCAATTTTTTGGATATTTTAAGTCTACATTGTTAAGAACTAAAGATTCATCTTGATTATGAATCAAGAATTTACAGTTCTTTGTGAACTGTAAATTTTCCCAAACTGAAACAACTCTTTTTCTCATCTAATACTTCCCCCTGAGACATTTCTTTACCAGCCATCGTATTCCTGTGCTTGGCTTTTCTTTGGTCAGAAGTTGCCTGTTCTTTTTCCTCGTAATGTTCTTGGGTTGTTGTTTTTTTGTTTAATTTTATGCACATTCATATTAAACAGTATATGGCTGCATTTTAGGTGTGGTGGTGACAGACTTTTGCTGTGGTTTAGGTTTGGTCTGGTTTCTCTGGGGCTTTTTGCTTTGTTCAGCAGGACAGGGTGCCTGGTCCTCCATGCTTAACAGTGATATCTTCCTCTACCTGTCTGCAAACAGCGACTCTTGTGGCCCCATCCTGGATCTTATCATGACCTATAGCTACACCACCCTCAACAGCTCACATTTACACACCTTACTGTCTCTGACCACTACAGCCATTCCTGGTATCAATCATCAACTGGTCCTGACCTCTGGCTAGGACACCCAGCCACCTGAACACACTCCTTTGTCACTTCTTATCCTTTCAAATGAGACTCCAGAGACTGTCACTCTCAACTCTGTGCACACAAGTCCCCACCTTCCTTTCAGGTGTCTCGGCACCAGAGGCCCTTGGCAAATACAACCCCAGTTAAAGCCAGCTATGCTCATCCTTCACCTACACCCAAGCAGCCAAGCTCAGATGCACTTGGAGCATCACTGACATCACTTTTACTTCTAACAATGATGTTCCCCTGTGGCCACTTGGCACCTACATTTTCTGCCGTCTGGTTTCTCTGGAAATATAACCATGTGCTCTCTCACATTCCAGGACCAAAATTCCTGGTTCCCTGGGGGTGGAATCTATCCTTGTATCAAAGGAGTTATTTTTTTAGCAGCTTTTCCTACTACTTTGAGAACTAGAAAGGTAGAAGATGGATATGTTCAACTCACTGCTTTAACAAGTCTTCTATAAAGTCATATAAAGATTAACACACACACTCAGGACAAACCAAATGCTTTTTCATTTTAGTTAAAGAGGATGGAAGAAATAGTGAGCAGGGAGGGCTGAACCAGATAGTAAGGGCTGGCTGGGGGATGTGCCTCATCCCCCATGACCCTTTTGGTGACAGAAGCGAAGAGAAGTCAGTCTAGAGAAAGAATCAGCAAGGGTCCTATATGTATTCCCATGAGCCAACAGACTATAATAGCAAAATCATTTTGCCCTCAGGGAAAAGAGAAAAGTAACTATGCCTCTGAAGAAAAAATAGAGCAGAAAAACATATTACCCAGCCACATTAAGAACAATTTTTTCTTTTAAATGATCAGTCCCCAGAATAAACATTAAATTTAAAAGGTTTTATTATTTTACTTGGTTTCACTACCTTAAAATATATCTACTAAATAGATCCACTACATCCTTTATTGCAGGCTTAATGGAATTTTGGCATCAAAAGCCTGATCCATTTTTGGTCCTTACCTTATAAAACTTCATGTCTATCAGATCCCTTAATGGACAGAAAAGGTCATTAAAACTCCAGGCATTTTGTAGGCCAACCCTGGAAAGTGGCAAAGCCCATTTTTGAAATTTAGTGATAGCCAGTGTGTTATAAGCCAACCCCAAAGACCTAATTGGATTGAGAACCCCATTTCTGCTTAAGGCCTTTTTGAACCTGCTTTTGTAATTCATGGTTCAAGAAGGCAAGTCCCACACTCTATGGACATTTTTAGCAGCAATGGGGAAAAATGATTCACCATTTTCCAGCCAAAAGAAGGCCAGTCTTCAGAGCAGGGTGGACCTAGTTAGAAAAATGGCTCCTGTAGCTCTTACATTCATGAAATTGGACTTTGGTCAGATGAGTGTCCTCAGAGAAACAGCCTGAACATTCTGCTCCATCATGACTGTCCTTCAGGTAGCTGGGATAAAGTTGGCCTAATCAGTATGACTGCAGAAATGCCACATAACAGCAGTAAAATAAAAAGATTGTTGTGTTTGGGATGAGTTGGTGTCTTCAAGGGTGGCCTTGCAGTGTATTTCTCAGACAAAATCTGGAGGAGAGATTGAGAATCAACACAGGATAACCAGCTTTGGAGTTAGAGATACTCACACCTCAGTACTGCTGCTCATTAGCCATTGGCCTCAAGCAAGACACCTTGCCTCTCTGAGCTTCAGTACAATGGAGATAATAGCACTTACATGCAGGTTCATTAGTGAGGTTACAATGGAAATTACATACTAAATAATGTGTTCAATCCATCAGTACTCATCAACTGACATTTGACTCATTCCAAAGTCTCCAGAGTCCAAGAACTCTAAATTTCTCACTCTTTTTCCTGCATGTCAACAAGGAGACAAGAGTCAGGAACTTGTACACAGTACATTTCAGGAAATGCTAAATAGTTTGGTTTAATTTAACTGTATCCTCAACCCTAATTAAACTCTCATTATCACTCTCAGGTACAATAGACTGTGCAGCCTCCAGAGAAAGCAGACTGATCCTAGAGCTTCCAAAGCCAATCCAGACATGGGAAGTTTGGGCAGAGGGGCTCAGGAATGGAACAATAAATCAAGAGGAGCACTGTCTGGGGCTTAGGTGGGGGTCTAATAATTAGTCCTGGGTTCATGGATGACCCACTTTAATTCAGACTTTTCAGAACCCTCTAGATGGTCAAAAATTTCTAAAATAATCCCAGAATTTAGGAGTGAAACTTGATCACCCCACTGGTGAGCCAATCACCTAAAATGACCAAAGCCTTTTTGTCATCTACTGGTGAGCTGGACACCCTAACCTGCAGGGTCTCCTTTGTGCTGAGACTTAGGAGTAAATGGACCCACTTGAGGGAGGAATTTTTTCACATCCTGACCTATAACAGCAGACACATGGTATGATCACACCCGCCCATTCTAATTTAATGTTTATAACTGTATTATTGTGAAAGCCAAAGATCATTGCTATGGGAGTCATGATAAAATCCAACCGAAGTCAGTTATTTCTTTTTCTAGTTGTGGTCAGCTGAGTTCAGCTTACACTGAAACCTAGAGACTTGATTTCTTGCAGAGCCCTAATCACAGAAGGTTAGACAATTAGTGGAGATATTTAATGTTCCCATAAACCTTTCGTTCCATTGCGTAGGTTTGGAATCCAAGTAAAAATGAAAAGGAAAGCCATCCCACAGATTCTCATCAGTCACTTTATTGGACCCAACAGTTAGTCAGGAACATAGACCAGGTGGACACTGCACTCGTGGGATTTCAGACAACACTCCATGTGGCTTTCAGAACTGGCTGCAGCCCAAATTTGAGGGCTTAGCATTCAAGCATTAGAATTCACACCTGGTATTCAAATGATCAGAAAGCAGATCTCACTCTCACCCACATAGAGGATGGGGGGATGGAGAAAATGGATGAAAGGGAATGGGGCATATAGGCTTCCAATTATAAAGGGAGTAAGTTGGGGGGTGCCTACCTGACTCAGCTGGTACTGTATGTGACTCTTGATCTTGGGGTTGTGAGTTCAAGCCCCACGTTAGGTGTAGAGAATGCTTAAAAAGAAAATCTTTAAAAAAATTAAAATAAGTCAGGGGAATAAAAGGCACAGCATTGGAAATACAGTCAATGATATTATATATTGTATGGTAGCTACCCTTGTTATGAGCAGAGCATAACATACAGAGAAATTGAATCACTGTGTCCCATCGTATACCTGAAACTAATTTAACATTGTGTCAACTCTAGGCAAATAAAAATAATTAAGATATTAGATGACTGATGGATTAAAAAAATAAGACTCATCTATATGCTGACTACAAGAGACTCACTTCAGACCCAAAGGCACAGAGCAAGAGTGAAGGAATTAAAAAGATATTTCATGCAAATAGAAGCAAAAAAGAAGGTAGGTTAGCAATACTTCTATCAAACAAAGTAGACTTTAAGACAAAGACTGCAGCAAGAGACAAAGAAGAGCACTACAGAATGATGGAGGGATCAGCTCAATGAGAGGATAAAATAATTGTAAACCAAACAAAATATAAAGCAAGCAAATTTTAAAAAACCAGACTCTTAAATACAGGGAACAAACTGGTGGCTACTAGAAGGGATGTGGGTATTGGGTGGGCAAAATAGATGAGGAAGATTAACTGATGCAAACATTTAACTATAAAATAAAGAAGTCAGCATAGGGAAGATAGTCAAAGGTATTGTAATGACACTGTATGATGACAGATGATGACTTACCATGGTGAGTACTGCATAATGTTTAGAATTATTGAATCACTACATTTTACATCTGAAATGGAAACAAAACATGACATGGTATGGCAATTCTACTTCAATATACATTTTTTAAAAAGAAAAAATAATTGTATAGCTCATTAGCGGTCAAATATCAGCTTGGGGACAGAGAGTAGTTTTTGGCAAGATTTACCCCGACCTGCCTTCAAAAAAGGGAAGATAGAAAAATATCAAGTACTGCATAGAGCTAAATTTAAGGTTATTCTAAGGATTAAAATACACATAACTGTCCTTTTGTCTATGAGAAATGCTCACATCAAATAGTGGTTATAGCTTCTTAATGTCTTTACTTTCTAAAACAAAAAAATTGGCAGTCCTATGTTCTATTCCTGCACACACGCACACACACACACACACATACACTTCCATTAAAAAAAAAACTTGCTGGTCCTTAAAATTCAGGAATGTAGAACATCTGGAGAAAAGAAAATAGTATGGTGTCCATGCTGTAAACCAACTGTGGGATCTCAGGCATCTCAGGCAAACCACTGAGATTCTTTGGTCCTTAATTTCTTCATCAGGAAATTGGGGGTGAATGGGACCAGTGTATCCACCAAAGGAGAACTTGCTCCTGGCTTGCTAACATGAGCAAAGTCAAGGCTTGGAATCTCCCGTGGGTCACACACATAATAAGTAATAATTTTTTAAAGACTTTTTACTGATGGAAATTAATTAAGTAAAATTTCTGATATCCATAACATTGAGTAAGTCTAGTCAAGAATTTTTCACAATATACAACTATTGGGATTTTTTCTTTTCTTTTTTCTCATACTGCCTGTGACAACCTCTACCCCCACCTCACTTTGCTATAGCTAGTCCTATTTTGTTTCTTAAATGCCAAATGTGCAGACACTGGCACCAAAGTTTGCATGCGGAGGCGTAGCCCTGTCTGTAACCTTCCTGGCTGTCCCACTCTCTGCCCAAATTGTACTTGGGAGATGGTGATTAATCAGCCCCCACAGCAGCACTTATAGTGCTGGCCAGTTCTCCCCTGCTGCAATCAAGAGCTCATAAATCTAACAAGGTAAAGGACAGAGGACAGCCAACAAACCCCTTTCGGAAAGAGCTCGAAGTCTCAAGGTGAGATCTCTGGGAGTATTATGGAAGCAATCCTGGCTTCAGCTTTTTGTCTAGCTAAAGATTCATAATCCAAAATTGGCATCTAAAAGTGTGCTCGGCACATGCCTCAGATTTCCAGCTCTCCAGATCCCAGAGCAGGAGTTCACTGTGAAGTTTAATATCCTTTGAATCTCTAAGGCTACAGTATCTTGAGAAAGAGCCCAGGAAACAAGATGCAGTAGGTTCAAATCGACTTACCAGTGGGTTCTGCTGCTTACCAACCATGTGACCTTCAGCAGTTTACTTAATCCGATTCAGGACCAGTTTTCTTACCATGAAAATGGGATACAACAACGGCTTCAATGTTATGATGCCTAGAAAGCTCTTAGCACAGTATTGGGCATATAGAAGGTATTCAAAACATGTTGTTATTGTTACCTCAAGATCTGTATGTTACAGAAGTTCTCAAATATTTGGTCTCAGTACCCCTTTATGCTTTAAAAAATTTGGAAGACCTCAAAGAACTTTTGTTTGTAAGGGTTATATCTATTGATATTTACCATATTTCATCTTAAAACTAAAAAAAAGTCTAAAACACAAAAATTCAGAGCCCACATCCCATTAGCCACCAGGGGAATGACGTCATCATGTGTCATCTAGGTTCTGGAAAACGCCACTGTGCACTGTAAGACAATGACAATGGAAAAAGCAAAAAACAGCTTAAGATGATAGCTTTGACCTCATATCACACATTGAAAACCATGGGCGTATTATATTCTTCTCTTTTCTGGCAATAATATAATTTAAAACTCCCCACCCCGTGAGCTGTCCTGCTCATTCAAATGTCATCAGGCAAAGAAGCCAAGTCTTTTAATAAGCTATTCACAATTGGTGCCAAGAGTTCTCCTTTCTATTGTAATCTGCATAATTAGGTCTATCATCTGTCTCATTTCTTCTAATTCTCTTCTTAGCAGAAATGGAAAACATCCAATAACAGTAATAACTGCTACTGTATATGGGGCACCAATATGTCAGGCACTGTACCAGGAGCATGAAAACCAAGTTACCTGATTTTATCCTCACAGTCACTGTACAATGTACCCACTGTTATTTCAACTTTACAGTTTTTTTTCTGAGGAAACAGAAAAGTTAAGTAACTTACACAAAATCCTATTAGTAATTGGAACACTCAGAAGGAACCCAGACCTCCTGGATTCTAAACATGCTCTATAATTTATGCTGCCTCCCTGGCTCACTACACAAACACTTCACAGTTGTTTTGTCTTCTTATTTTTTAAGATAAATGTAATAGCAGTGGTGGAGTCATAATCTCTTCTTTTTAAAACAAATGTAATTCACTATCAAGTTCTCAGCTGCCATTTTTGCAGAAATTGACAAGCTGATCTAAAATTCACATAGAAATGCAATGAATTCACAACTACTGAAACTATTTTGAAAAAGAAGTTGAAGGACTTCATACTTCCCAATTTCAAAATTTACTACAAAACTACAATAATCAAGACACTGTGGCATTGGCCAAATGATAGACACAAAGGTCAGTGAAATAGAATTGAGAGTCTAAAAATAAAATTAGATTTTCAATACAAATACTAAGACAATTTAATATGGAAAAAAATAGTGTTTTCAACAAATGCTGCGGGAACAACTGAATATGGACTGCAAAAGACAGAAGGTGGACCCCTACTTCATACAATACTAAAAAAAGTTAACTCAAAATGGACCAAGACTCAAATGTAAGAATTAAATAAACCACTGGAAGAAAACATAGGAGTAAATACATAGGAATTTGGATTGGGCAATGGTTTCTTAGCTGTGACACCAAAAGCACAAGTGACAGGGCTGCCTGGTGGCTCAGTCAGTATAGAGTCCAACTTCCACTCAGGCCATGATCTCATGGTTTGTGAGTTCGAGCCCAGCATTGGGCTCCCTGCTGTCAGCCTGTCAGCCTGATTCTGAACCTCTGTCCTCCTCTCTCTCTGTTCCTCTCCTGCTCATGTTATCTCTCTCTCTCTCTCTCTCAAAAAAATGCACAAATGACAAAAGAAAAAATAGATAAATCTGGGTTCATCAAAATTAAACACTTCCATGTTTTAAAGGAAACCACTAAGAAAATGAAAAGACATCCCACAGGATGGGAGAAATGTTTGCAAATCATAAATAAAGGATTGTATCCATAATATATAAAGAACTCTTGCAATTCAACAATAAAGAGACAAATGGCTCAATTTAAAAATGTGTAAAAGATGTGAATAGACATTCCTCCTAAGAAGATACCCAAAAGCAGGGATACCTGGGTGGCTCAATTTGTTAAGCAGCTGACCCTTAATTTCTGCTCAGGTCATAGTCTCATGGTTCATGAGATTGAGCCCCACATCAGGCTCTGCACCGACTGCATGGAGCCTGCTTGGGATTCTCTCTCTCCCCTCTTTCTCTGCCCCTCATGAGCTTTCTCTCTCACCCTCTTTCTCTCTCAATAAATAAAAATTTTAAATTAAAAAAAAGAAGACAGACAAACAAGACATGAAAAGATTCTCAACACCATTAGCTATCAAGGAAATACAAGTCAAAACCACCATGAAACACCACTCCACACCAACTAGAATGGCTAATATAAAAAATAAAGCTAATAACAAGGGTTGGTGAAGATGCAGAAAAATTAGAACTCTCTTATGAACTCCTGGTAGGAATAAAGAAGGATGCAGCTGCTCTGGAAAACAACTAGACAGTTGCTCAAAGGCTAGAGCTTTCTCATGACTCAGCAGTTCCACCCATAAGCATATACCCAAGAGAACTGAACACATGTTCACACTAAACTTGCACATGAATGCTTGTAGCAGAGTTATTCATAAACAAAATTGTCCACAAATATTCATCAACTGATAAATTGTTGTATGACTTCATTTATAGACTATGTCCATATTAGGCAAATCCATAGGGACAAAAATAGACTAGTGGTTGACAGGGGCTGGGGGGAGAGGTGATTGAGGGTGTCTCCTAACGTGTACCAGGTTTCTTTTTGGGGTGCTGAAATGGGGTGATGAAAATGTTCTGAAATTAAATAGTGGTAATGGTTGCACAACTTTGTAAATATACTAAAAACTATTGAATTGTACACTGTTAAAAATTTTATGGTATGTGAAATATATCTCACTAAATCTGTTATTTAAAAGATATTAAATGCTATCCTTGAATTGGCTTTTATATAATTTCATTCCTTCTGTTTTTCTTGACCTTCTAGCCCACCCCAGGCAGTGAATCTGGAAACAAGTTATTAATTTTATTTAGTTGAAGTAATCTGTATTGCTAAAGGCTGAAGAAATACAGTTTAAACCCAAGAAAACCATATCATAAATTAAAGCTAGAAAGTACATGTAAATAAAACCAGTAATGATTCAAGATTTCAGCTCGGGCGTGTAGGCGTTATCCAGAGGAAATGTGTTCCATGGGTGGGGAAGAGATGGGCCTGCTTTCCACGGGCAGGGCTGAACCATTTTAAGCAAGCATAAATAAATGCCAAGTCCCCAATTTTTTGCCTTCATGTTGTTGTTTTACACAGATCCCAGTTTCCCCCTGAATTCACCCATTTTCTGTAAGCTCCCTGAGAAGTTGTTGAAGGCAGCTGATACCCAAGAGCCAGTGCCAGAGTCCTGCCTTCTGTTAGCAGCCTGGGACCTGCTGAAGAGCCATGGACCTGCCAGTCTCTCGGATACCAGCTGTTCCCCAGGACTTCCCGCTGAGGCCAGCTCTCCAAGCCAGCAGTCTGGGAGCCAAACACTTCCTGACACTGGTCAGAATCACGAAATCTGGGAAAGTTGAGCAAGTTCATTTGGGAAGGTAGAATAACAGGAGAATGAGATAAAATGAGACATTTGGAAAAATGAAGGAGGAAAAGTCCAATTGCCCAACAGACTCAAA